TGCTCAGGCTGTCCCTAAGATGGACCTATTTGCTGCTGCCACTCCGTGTCCTCAGCAAGAACTGAAGAATCTGCACCTTTTTCAGCATTTTCAACTTCTTGCCATTTTTCAGCTCCAAAACTACAACCTTAACTAATGCCCTTGGTGTTTTCTGCTCTTTGCAACATATTCTGTCCCTAGTTTTTTGCTTCCCCCCCGCCCCAATGTAGCTTTATTCTGTGTTTCCTCACATCAGTTTTTTTGGTTCATGCAACTGCTATAAGCCATAGAGTTAGAGCAATACCTGGAGTTAGAAGGCAGACTCCACAGAGAGGTATTTGAGAGCTACACCACAACAATGCATTCTGCATCCCATGAAATCACCCGGCACCTGAGAGGGCAGTTTAGATTTTAAAGCACATGTGTCACAGTAACATTTTCCACTAATTTCCCCTCAAATACCTGTGCTCTGAGCAACCCCTCCACCTGTCTTCCTTGTTGCAACATTTGCAGTTTTACAGACATATCCTTATTTAGCCAAGCAGCTAAAAGAAACACAGCTTTTCATTGAAGACTAATTTAAAGTCTCAAGCACATGTTCTCAGCTGTGGCAAAATTATACCACTAAGTGCAATAGGCTCTGTCATTTTACATCAGCTGAGAATCTACTTACGAGGACAAAATAAGTGGATGCAGCTGCTGTTCTGTTCCTTGGAAGTTGCCCCTCATACACAACTGATTGCAGGTGGTTGAGAATTAGTATTTAGAAGGGACAAGTTTTGGGGTGGGTTTTTTGGGTATTTGTTTTTTATTAATGTATCTAGTAAGGTTCATTTATGTGCTTTCTCTGATGTCTGGCCAGGGTCTGCAACTTGCCATGTCCTAATTCATAAGAAAGAACGTGTATGGAGCTAGCTTAAAAAACAGATTACCAGATCGTAAATGAAACATTATCTCTCACGCCGTATCATGTGACAGAAGATAAAATTGAAAATGTGACCCCTTTTTTTCTTCAGATAATACAGTGCCATTCAACAGACTTAATTATCCCTAAAGACACATCTAATAATTGTTGGCCTGTCAATCAAAATCCTTATTAGACATGCGTATGACATTGCAATGCAGTCTAACAAATCTTCCTGCCAGTCAAAAACCTTTATATAGATTAATCTGATTTCAGAGGCAAGTTCTGCGTTTGACCTTTTACCGAACTTTTTCAGAGCTGAAGTTGGAGAGGGGCTGAATGTTTTCTGTGTGCTGCTGAGCTGGGATGATGGGCTCTGGGCTGTCCTGCCTGGCCATGCTCTGATTTATGCTGCAGCATGGAGTTTGGAAAGGATCTCTGCCTTGGATTGCTAAGTGACGGGGAGTAGATCTGCATTATTATAGGAAAGCTCTTCTCTACTTTACTCTGGCCTGACTATACCACAGTGCTAATTCCCTGGCTGCCTGGGATATCATGAAGCTGTGCTTCACCGGGGTATCTGCACCAGGTTTTGAGATGATACAGTCCATCCCAGGTGCACTGTTTACATCCACCACATTGCTGTGGCTGTGCACCCAGGGGAGTGATTGCTGTGCTGGGGGAGACCCCTGGAGCCTTTGACCCAGGCGAAAATATTTGCTTTGCTAAGGGAAAAGTGTGCATGCCTGAAGAGAGTGGGTGCCGTACTGACAACCCAGGGAGCTTACCAGCCTGTGTGTCAAGGTGCAAAGGATGAGAAGTTAATGCGCTAATAACCACTCAGATTTGAAAGGCAGCTCAATCCAGATTTTGCAGACCAAACAGGCAGGCATGTCAAACTTTCGTACTGTTGTACTGCACTGAGCAGCTCTGGGCTATGTTGCATATGCTGCTCCCTTTTCCCTGCCCAGCAGCTGTGACAGGCTTTGCAGATGCTGAATTTCCTTTGCTAGTGAGTGCAGGTTAACAGAGTTTTCATTCCTGCAAGCACAGCACCATATTTGTATCTGTAAATATAAAATTGTCACTGGAAGTAACTTTCCATTCTTTCCTCAATGACATTTGGTGAAAAGCAGTTAGTGACATTTCTGGCTGCTGGAAACATCACCTGTTGTGCTGGGGTCTCCTAGTGTCACTTCCCTCTCCCTTCTACAATCCCAGGCAACTTAGTTTCTCATCTTTACTTGGAGGAACTGATGTTATATGATCATGTTTATCCCATTGTGGTTGACACCTTCTTTCTACACTGCCATAGAGTGAAAAAGGTGGTGCCTTCCTAGTGGACCTGACTGGTAAGTCAGAGCTTGGATGGACCACTTCATTGCAAAGCACTTGTCATCATGATGGTGGCAGACACAGCTCCTCGAGATTTTCAGTTGGATACCAAATCTGAAGAGGATATAAATTTATTTATTGACAGTGCATTGAGCTCCATGTACCCAGTTGCACTGGCACTTCAAGTCTCTTTGAAATGAAATAAAAGCAAATAGCAGAGGCTGAGGCTTTCAAGGTACTATCATTTATCTTCTGAAAACCTGCTTTTTAGATGTCAGACAAAACAATTTCACAATGGCTAGGAAAGATCTTAGCTGGCATTGCTGTATTTTCATTGGTCTTTAATATAACTTGAAAATATTAGGCCATATTGTGGTGTTCAATTTTCTATTAATTTTTCAGACAGTCTGATAACACAAGTGAAATAACTGTCTGTAATTAGACATCATTTCTAAAACTAAGGGACTTCAGAGAAAGCCACACAGCAAGCTCCCTTTGCATGTAAAACTTCAAAGTGCTTCCTAGATTCATAAACTACAGGCAAACTCAAAGTCAGCAGAAAAAGTGTCAATAAACAACGAGAAAAAGATGCTGCCTTCACGTTTAAAGGAGGCATTTTTCTCTTCCAAGAGAAGCTAAAAAACAAAGGTTTCTTTTTTTTTTCCAAGCTGATAAAGATTAGCAGTTATCCTTGCAATTAAAACAGCTACAAGAAAAACCTAACCAGCCAAGCCAAAAAGGGTGATTTATGCGGTTTTATAAAACTGTTCTTGGAATAAAGATAATTTGAGTCATTCTCCTCTGATTCACCCGTAGCTTATGTGCAAGCAAGCCCCTTCTGCAGAGAAATCAGGTTGCACTCAGTCTCTAGCAAATTCAGCTGCTGAGATGGCTTCACTCACCCTCTCCATCACAGCAGCATCTCTTGCGGCCTGACCTTGGGACACACTGCTGTTACCAGTTGTGACTTAGCATAATCCTGCTAGGTACATGGGCTGCTGAGTCCAGGGGTCATCAGAGATGAGCAGAAGGTTTATGAACTTTCTGGAGGCTTGTTTCCAAAAAGCCCCTTTCTTGAAAGTCATAATGAAGAAACTGGGGCAATCTTATTCCTTTTAGCTTGGGGTTGAAACCTTAAACTGCTCTTCTCTCCCTTCCCCTTGAAGGAAGGTGAGAGGCTGGGAGACCAGCAACAGATGGCAGGACCTACGAGGAACCATAAAAGCAATCTCACTTTTTCTGGCTCATACTCCTGCCATCCTAGCTCAACCACTGCAATGATATTGAGGTGCATGACATTGCGGTGGGCAAAAAGCTTTGCAGTTTTGTGTCGGTTTTATCTTAATATTTTTGCTGTATTCCCCTAGAAGATCTTCTGTGAATCCTGTATAACTTTGGTCACTGAAGAGTTAAAGAAGGAGCACACTGCGCCTCTGCCACCACTTCAAAGTCTCTTTTTTTTCTGGGATAACATCATTTGTTCAGGTCCCTTTCTTAGGATGATGTCTCTCCCTTGTTGAATAATATCCAGGGGTCTAGGGAGGAAAAACAAGCAAAATGCATTCCTCAGATGTTGCCTAGTAAGGAACATCTTTATTGGGAAATGGTTTTTCATCAACCTCTTACACAAACAGTTGCCTTTTATTACAGTTTCAAGTTACCGACAAAACAACAAAGAATAAAGAGAGCTCTCTGTGCAGGAAAAAAGATATGACATGCTGCTGCTGAGGATTTGCTTGGCTTTAGAAGTATGCTCAATTCAAACAGGAGTGTAGAAGTATTCTTAATTCAACCCAAGAGTGGGTTAACACAGAAAAGGATTGTTCTACTCTGTGCACACCTGGCCATGGGGTCCCAGTGCCCCTTTTGCACCACTTCCATGCAGTAGGTTGGATCAGCTTGAACTGAAATCGTCATTCCATAAGATGACTCACATTACAAAGCTGTACTCTGGGATCCTGTCATTAAATCCCCACAAGTGGTCCTCTAAAAGCTCTCCTTTTAAGGGTGCCAGAGTAGTGAAATCAGAAGTCGTTTACATTTTCCCTGAAGACCCAGTCCCTCCATCAGCCCTCAGAGCATGCTGACCAAATCATCCATATATTTGAATAATTTATCATATGAATAAATTCGTTTATGCTGAATGAAGAGGTGGACTACTGGGATGTAGTAATGCCAACACAACAAAATTGAAGCTAGGGAGGTGGCGGAAATGAACCCATAACAATGGCAAGTGGTACCGACTGCTCAGGCGTCAGGAGGCAGCTGTGACCACATTTGAAACATGAGTGTGTGGGAAGGTACGGAGCAGCATCTATAAAGGGCTTTAGAACAAGTAGAGCTAAGTGAAAACCAAGATGCTCTTTTTGAGCTGCAAAAATATGGTTGGTATAGAATGACCGAAAACTAAACTGCAAGTTTGATGTCTCATTCCAAGTTTTCCAATTCAGAAAGTATGTAAGTAACATTCCCATGCCTTTTAATTTCCACTGACATTTAAGAAACATCCTGCTGAATGATCTGTCCCCCCAAGCCTTTGACCTGGGCAATTGATGAACGTGTGTTATAGATGCATGCAGCACAGACAGAAAATATTAAAAGTCAGATCTCAACTAGTGTAAACTGGCTTTGGTTTTACACCAGCTGATGATCTGCTCTGTGTCTTCCAGCAGTAACAGCTGGAGGAATGATGGTTTGCATTCACTAGGTGATGATGAGGGCTACTTAATTAGGTGTGCTTTGCTTGCATTTGTGGCCAGGAGATTGACCGTATTGACCATTTTTATATTCCCTCTTTCTTTAGCTGTTCTTCGAAGAAATTGTTGCATGCCACAGTCAAAGCAGCAACCAGAACGACAAATTCATTGAAGTCCACTTCATTGTCTTCATTGGAGTCCAGATCTTTCATAATCTTATCAACAAGAAGGGGGTCCTTTTGGCCCTAAAGGGAAAGAAAAGTGCCTTAGCTGTGCTGATATTGAATGCACAATTATGACACACAATTTGCATGAATTATGCACCTTAATAGTAATATACCACTAGTCACAGCATTAAAAGCGTAGGTCTGGAGTCCCTAAGTGCACAGCAACACAAAAAAAGTGCACAGCAACACAAACAGAGGACAGTGCAATTCTTAGAAGTACAGGTACTAAATAGGCACTGAAACGAATCAAACACGTTTTAGGACCTGCTGAGTACTGATTTTTTTTTTTTTACAAGGTCGATCTAGAATGTGTATTTCTTTGTATCAGCCCTTAGCAAACAATACTTAGGTTTTCAACAGGCTATTCATAAGTGGTTGTATTATACATCCATTTATCACATTCAGAAGATCTCTACTTAGCAAACAACACATCCTATTCAGTGGGAGTAAGAACAGTGAATCTAGTAATAATAAATCAATAGCCAAGAAAATCCAATTCAAGGAAATTGATACAATGTAGAAAAATCCTGGTGGTGAGAGGGTCCACAACAATTAATTTTAACAATTAAGAGAATACAGAAAAACAACTATGAATCTGGTCATTATTCCACAAAAGCATCCATGCTGTATAATGCAGAACAAACATGATAAGAGATACTTAGATCAGCGGCTTATCACTGAAAATAATTTCTTATCATGTCTCTGCAGCACACACACACACACAGCCGTACTGTGTCTGTGCCCATTGTGCATAAGCTGCTTTCTTGTCTTGTGAGAACTGGTTGCTGGATTTAGTCCTTTGAAGGACTTATCTATGCCCTATTACTAAAAATGAACAAGCAAACAAAAAACTGATTAAATCCTGATTTAGCATCGATTTTGCTACTGCTTCTAGGCTGCCCTTGCCCTCCTGCTCAAAAGCACAGAGGAGTAAGCAAAGCACAGGTACCCGGCTCTGCTGCTGGTGATACATGGCAGGGCACCAGGGCTGGACCAACTTCTGAAACTACAATTCTCAAACGGGGCGTCTGATCTCATCTCCTTCTGCTTAGCTCCACACAAAGACAACTGTCATCTCAGAGGCTGTAGCAGGTTGTGCCTTGCAGAAGGAGATGCTATTCCTGAGCGCTTGGATAGCCACTTATCCTGGCTGTGGAACAGTAACTCAAGAGATTCAGGAGCTGCATCTTACTGAAAGGAAGCCAGTGAGCTCACTGGTGAGAAGGTCCTTGAGTTCTCCTTTACTGAGCTTGTATCTGTCTCCCTCTTTGCCAGAGTAGTGATGGAAAATCCTGATCAGGGTGTCCATCGCGTCCTCCAGCGGCGTGGACATAGCAGTGAGTGGGAGAGCTGTAGGGCAAAGGTGAAGAGTAAGTGACGTTGCACAGGAGCCAAACCAAAGGCCGCCCTCAGGGAAGGTGTGCAGTGCTAGCCGAAGACAGAAATTACTACCAGTAGTGAATAAATGTGTTTTCAGTTTATCCATCTGGTCAGCTGTGCATGAGCAAAGCTAGACTGACATAAAATGAAACATTTTCCTGAACTTACTACCAATTGCTTCAAAAAAGTAAACAGAAAGGAAGGCCTATATTTAAAAAAGTTATCTACCGAGCATCCGTTTTGCAAAGCTACTATAAAAAGAAACCTCTCACACCCACAGCTGAAAACACAAAGAAAGACACACCCTCCTATCTGTTCATTCCAAAGTTTTCTCAAAAAACCGAGATCAACAGTTACGAGTGGCAGAAATGGATGTTCATTTATACAGAAATGTCCACACCAGTTTCTCAGGTGATTAGATGAAAGTCACCAGTAATGGATAGAAGCATCAGCTTTCAATTAATTCAGACATGTTTGCTTAGGCTTAGTTTTTTTCCTGTAAGTTATCTGGAACGAACAAATGTGAGCTAGGCACCCCCAAGGGTTTGCTTTATCAAGCATACAGTACACAGACACACAGGGAAATACTACCAAGAAAAAAAGATGGAAATGCAATTAGTTGCTGAGTAGCCGACTCAAAAAACCACTAAAATTAGAAATCAGGTGAAAGGGAAACATTATGCTGATTAAGCCCTGGGAGACAGATTAAAAAGCCAGAATTAAGTTCAATGTAAGGCTGGAGTCCTGAAATATATTACTGTACAAAGACTAAGACTTACCTGCTTTACAGGCTAGCAGAGTTGTGTGCAAGAAAATATTCAGATCACAGATGGTGATGGTCACTTTCCTTTCAAAACTCACGTTCAGGTTCTTGTTTGTCAGGTTGAGAGGGTGGATTACACAAATAGAGACAGACATAAAATTGTCAGGAGGATGACGAGGCTCCTGTTTCCCTCTGCATTTGTCTACTGTGCTCAGTAAAAGCTACTTGCTGTAATTGGGTCACTAAAATATTCACTAGGCAGAGCAGAGGGCTGTGTGTGGAACATGTGGGATATTTTTTATCATTTGACCTTTTACAAACATGCCCGTCTGGTGGCCTGAAGGTCAAAATTAGGAAATGCTGAGAATCACTGAGTCAGTATAAAAAATCTTTCCCCCATTTTCAAAATAACTCTTTTTAAACTGTTTGTCTGCACTTCTGCAGCTGAGACTCTGAAGGCCTTTGCACTGGCAGCCAATGTTCACAGATACCTGGGTGCCTAGGGGTAGGCTTGTAGGTGAGTTTGCCAGAAACCCCCTGAGACATCTACCTCTATTATCAGATGTCTCTGTAAGCCTAAAACACTGTTTTTTTGCTGAGGTACACGTGTCCTCAAGAGGAAACGAGGAAACCATTTTCCCAGGAAGGTGTGCCTGAAACTACAGTGTGCACTGCTCAAGAGGTTAGGCTTTCTTTCTAGTAGTCCTGCACAACAACTGCAGTTCTGCATCTCTCGTTTAATAAGTGATCTTCTCTCAGGAGGTTTTCCGCTGTTTCAAGCCCAAGGACTCACTGACTCCAGGGGGGACAACTGGGGGACAGAAGAAACAGCAGCTTCATCACGGTAGTGCCTACTTATTACCCAAAATACCAAATAACCACAGTTTTCTTGATAAACACACAAAATGGAAAACTGCTTGTTTTGGATTTGTGTTTCCTCAGTAAAGCCTTCCACCTGCTGCACATGGATGTCCAGTGAGCATAGCTGTGTAGATTAACAGCAAGAGAGTACACAGCTGCAGCTCTTTCTTTTATTCCAGCCAGGGGGGAAGAGAATGAGATGGGCATGGTTTTTAGCTCAGAAAGTCTTCAGGCACTCGTAATTTCAAGCAGAGTGCCAGAGCAGATCTCAGCCCACACCTCTGCCTGTCTCCTTTGCCTCCAGACATGATGTTTCTTCTGTCCGCATTGTCATGACAAGTCTCCATATCCTGAGGAGTCTTGGCTGTGCCACTGGGAGAAGGGGAAGGGGAGTGCGGGAAAATAAAAAAGCTGGATCCCTGTGGAATGGGAGGTGACCATGTGTAAAGCACTGTTTTCAGAACAGTAAGCTGACTTCTCTGTTTAGAGGTCTCTGCAGACATGAACAACACTGTTTGCAGGGCATACGTCTTCACCTGACATCACTGATGTCATGGGGGGTCACCTGAGGTGGGGGAAACCAGTGCTCAGGTAAATTTTAGTAAAGATCCAGATGGAAACCAGCCTGGGAACCTCCATACACAACAACAGGAACCTAATTCCTCCTGGTAGGAGGAATTAGGAGAGTTGTGGAGAAGAGTTATCCAACCTCTTCGGTATTCAGGTATAGCTAATGGGTGCTCAATTTTGTTCAGAGAGGGTACCTGTGCTCCAGCAAAGAGTGATCTAGCTGGACCATATGCAGCACAAGGGAGAAGAACACACGTGACATGAGGCGCAGCACAGCTCTCCCCCTCAGATCCTGGGCATTCTCGGTGCCTTTGTAGATGCTAAGAAAAACCATGGAGTCTCTTAGGTAGCTACAACCATAAACGTCATAATACTGGGGGGAGGGAGACTTGCCATTTATTTAACAACACTTTCACCCACAACCAGAAACTCATCCCCCCATGGCTGAGTCGATACATCAGTATAAAATCCTTCTGTTTATCTATATATTACATTGATCCTCTGGCTGATGAATATTGCAAAATAATTACCTAAGCAGAGTCTACAGGAGGTACAACTTTCAGAGCTGACATCCTCAGGACAGAGGGAAGAGAGGTTTTGTCAGTTCAATAATTTATACAGCAATGTAATCTGTGCAGTCTCTTTCAATAGCTACTGTCATTCCAGCTAGTTGTGTAAGAAACTCTCTATTCCATGCCAGTGGATTACGTGTACACAGGAAATGGCTGCACTGAGCTTCTTTGTTAAGAGTTCCATCCAGTTTGCGGTGTCCATCCCTTTCCTCCCAGGCTAGTGAAATCCTTCTAGTAGGTCCAGTGACAGAAGAGATCTCCTACCTCCTGCAAAGGCAGGTCTCAGAGGCCACTAAAAATGCATGATTATCAATCAACTGTTTTTTAAGTTTTCATCCGGAACTCCAGCACAATCTGGTTTTGCATGATATCTAATAGGCACTGAAAATAACTAAAGTCAGTGCAGTCTGTGAGCACTTCTGTATCAACACTTTGGTCAGCAACTCCAGTTTCCACCAGGCTTAAACACAGGAGAAGTACCAGACATGTGGCTGACAGAGAGAGTAGGACTGCAGCATGACTATAGACATGGTGAAGATTGGTGTCTTCCTCATTCATCACCCAACTTTGTCTTGCCACAACTTGTCAAATTGTGGCAATGTTAGTGGGAAGGCACCTCTGGATGTGCCTAATCCCACCTTGTGCTCAAAATGGGATGATCACCAATGCCCGGTCAGGTGAGCCACGTCTTTGTCTAGTTAAATCCTGAAAATCTCCAAGGATGGAGATTTCAGAAGTTCTTAAGTAACATGCTCTAGTGCTGCACTATCTCCCTGGGGAAGATGTTTATCCTAACATCCAGCCTGAGCTTTTAAGCTGCAGTGGTGACCATTGACAATTTTTTCCACCATCTACAAAGAGTCTGACTTTGCTGACTTTACAAATTCCTTTCAAATAGTCTTAGCTCCTCACTCAAACTCAAAAATAAACTTGGAAGTAGGCTGTCCTGACTCACCCAATCCTGTTCTATATTTCAGTGTCGCCTTCATGTTAGGCATTTGACTCTTGCAGACTGCCTTGGCTATGCCCTTCTCCTACTGAGTATTTCAACACTAAAGTGGGTGCTGAAAAATCAATGACTGTCAGAAGAAGGGCAGATTTTTCATCAGGCATGGCACAAATATTCTATAGGGCTTAACTGACATCAGCCATCTGATTTCACAGGAGGCTGCTGAGAGAGGCAGAGACTGTTCCCCGCCCTGTAGACTTGAGAAAGGACTCAAAGAGCTATGACTGCTTTAATTTTAGTTAGCTAATATGGAAGTACACCTGGGAGGCTCTATGGGACTGCTCCTCCCCTCCTACATGAAGATGGGGCAGTCAGACTACAGGCAGAAAATCTTATCACTGGTCTCTGCTCCTCAAAAGCCGAGCAGAGTTTTGCCCTGTGTGAAAGCAGTCAGCCCTTGACTTAGGGCAGTAGCCTTCTTCCTTCACAGCAGGGAAGGAGAAGTTTTGGCTTCTTCACCAGAATTTTTCCTTGGTTTCTTCCTGAGACAACAAAGCACAGGCTGCCTTTAAGCCAGGGTAGCCTTTAAAGTGACAGTCTAAGCCACAGTACAATACCACTCAGCTTAAGTGGGAGGATCTCATACTTAGGGCATCTGGTTTTCAACATTCGCCAGAATGCACGTGGGGAATATCTTCTCACAAATAATTACTGTTCTGGGAAAGACAAGTCAGCCTCCCACCTACATCCTGTCATTATTTATTTTTTCCAAATTCACAGTGTTCTTGGGACGCACATGTTTTGAGTCAATATTGTACCCCCAAAGCACCAAAAGGGTGATGGAAAGTAACAGGGAACACTGCAGTGCTCAGGAAGGCAGATACACTATATGCTAAAAAGCTTAGATTACATTGGAACACAGATTAAAGAGCTTATTAATATAGACTAAAGAGCTTATAAGAGCATTTTTTTTGATAATTTATAATGAGAATTTTTACGTTTTTAGGATTGTTAGCATTTTCAATTGTGCTTTGTTTCCACACCTGAGTGGCTGATTGATTCATCCCTTTATATCAGGCATGCTTCTCTTCCTCATAGGTTCTAGTTCAGATCTTCAAGACTGTTTTAACTGCTGTGATTCCACAGACAGCAGAATAGCAAAGAGCTATCAAAACTTCTTGCTAATATTTCTTACCATCTAAATTCAGTGGTTTACTCTGTAGACATCTCTTTTAATG